CCGCCCTCCGGCGCCCGGCCTCCTGGACGCCCCGGCGTGGCTCCCGCGCTGGCGGGAGGGGGGGGTTCCAGCCGCTCCGGGTGCCGGATCCCTGCCTCCGCCCCCACTCTTCCCTGTACCAACCCCTTTCCCGGCGGCAGCAGAAGCCGAGAAGACCACCGCGGCGAAGGGTCGGCCTGCGGGCCCTGGTCTTCCTGGCTGGCACGTGGGGGCGCCTCCCTCTACCTCCCGGCCTCAGTTTCCCGATTTTGAAGCAGTTAGAGTGCCGGAGGTTACTTGGCAAACATATGCCTGCTTGCATCCACGGAGAAGCCTTTCTGGTTAAAGCGAGGGCATCCTTAAAACATCTTTCCCCTCGGAGAGTTTTTCCACTGGCATTTGAAATTCTCCTTTCGCTCCACGGGACATTTGTTGAACTCTGCCACAGACCCCTACACGTTCTGGGGCTTCGGCAGTGAGCTAGGCTACCCAGGCCCCAGCCTGCGCAGAGCCTTGAGTAGAAAAAGTCTCCTTTCCCCATGAAATAAGCAGGATCCTTCAATACAAGTATGGCGGGGAAGACTTCGGGGTCTTCTGACCACTCCATTTCTTTTCTCTTTGGCCTTGCCAGGAACATTGTGACCTTAAGCAGCTCTCATGACTTTGTTGGTCCTCTGTGTGATGTTCTGTAAAACAAGCCAGTTCTCTCCATTTAAGTCATATTCTATGTAATTCTGGTTAAGTACTCTTAATGAATGCCTGTCTTGTGCCAGATCTCTGCAAAGTGCTGGGACAGGGTGATAAGCAAAACAAACAGTGGGCCTGTGGTTGATTGGGAAGGCAGACATACAAATGGGAGGACTAATTTTTTTTTTTAAGATTTTATATATTTATTTGACAGTGAGAGAGGAAACACAGCAAGGGGAGTGTGAGAGAGAGGCAGGCTTCCCCCTGAGCAGGGAGCCTGATACGGGGCTCGATCCTGGGATCATGACCAGAAAAGAAGGCAGACGCTTAACCGGCTGAGCCACCCACGCACCCCAAATGGGAGGACTGTTAAGAAAGAGATTACCCGTGCCATGGAAGCAAGCAGCAGGGAGATTCACCCCCAACCCCAATACATGCATTGGCCCCACATGGGAAGCCCTACACACATATAATTGCTATAAACACTAAGGAAATGATGGCTGAGTTCTGAAAGGTAAGTCCTGGCTAGCTGGTGAGAGGGTGGAGTCTTGGAAATAGGGATGCATTTGATAGGGCCTTGAAGGTCAGGGTCAGTCTGGAACATTAACATTCTCAGGAATTGAACTTAAATGGACACATTTTCTTGAAAGACACAAGTTGCCAAAACTGACACAAGAAATAGAAAATGTGAATCACCTGATATCTGTTACAGAAATTAAATTTATGAGTAAAAACCTTCCCGTAAAGAAAACTCCGGTACAGATGGCTTTACAGGTGAATTTTACCAAATATTTGAAAATTTAAAAAAAAATTAACTTGACACAAACTTCCAGAAAATTCAGGAACAAAGATTTCCAAAACATTTATGAGGTCAGTATTACTCTGATACCAAAACCAACCATGCATTACTAAAAAGAAAATTATAGCACAATACTCCTCATGAAAATAGATGTAAAATTCTTTTGGTGGAGGGGAGCCCACCGCCCAATGTAAAATTCTTAATATCAAACCAAATCCAACAATATATACGAGGAGGATGCATCCTCCGTGCACTTTATTGCAGGAATAGAACATTGGCTTAACATTTAAAAGATTCAATGTAAGTCCCAAAGATACAAATGTAGGGATCCGAAGGGGCACATGCACCCCAATGTTTATAGCAGCAATGTCCACAATAGCCAAGCTATGGAAAGAGCCTAGATGTCCATCAACAGATGAATGGTTAAAGAAGATGTGGTGTATATATATACAATGGAATATTATGCAGCCGTCAAAAAATGAAATCTTGCCATTTGCAATGACGGTGGAACTAGAGGGTATTATGCTAAGCAAAATAAGTCAATCAGAGAAAGACAAATATCATATGATCTCACTGATATGAGGAATTTGAGAAACAAGACAAAGGATCATAGGGGAGGGAGAGAAAAATGAAACAAGACGAAACCAGAGAGGGAGACAAACCATTAGAGACTCTTAATCTCAGGAAACAAACAGGGTTGCTGGAGTGGTGGGGGGTGGGAGGGATGGGGTGTCTGGGTGATGGACACTGGGGAGGGTATGTGCTATGGTGAGTGCTGTGAATTGTGTAAGACTGATGAATCACAGACCTGTACCCCTGAAACAAATAATACATTATGTTAATAATAATAAAAGATTCAGTGTAATTTACCACACTAATACTTAAAACAATTATATCTTCTCCAGAGGTATAGATAAAAACATATGACAAAAATTGAACCCTTATTCATGGGAAAAACTCTCAGCAAACTAGGAACTGAAGGAACTCTTATCTGGTGAAGGGCAGTACGAAAAATACTTACAGTAACATTGTACTTAAGAGTTGGGTGCCTGGGTGGCTCAGTCGGTTAGGCGTCTGACTCTTGATTTCAGCTCAGGTCATGATCTCAGGGTTGTGAGATCAGCTACTCACTGGGCATGGAGCCTGCTTAAGATTCTCTCTTTCCCTCTCCCTCTGGCTCCCCACCCTCCTCATTAAAAAAAAAAAAAAAAAAGGCGAGAGTGACCTCAGTCCTGCTAAGATTGAGAACGAGAATGTCCTCCCTCACTACTTTTATTTAACATTGTACTGGAGGTTCTAGGCAATGCAATTAGAACAGAAAAATTAGAAATATTAAAAAGGAAGAAGGAAAATCACTTTTATTCACAATCAACATGATTGTATACATTGAAAATTCAAAGAAATCCCCTCCCCCCACCATGCTACTAGGGCTCATAATGAGTTTAGCAAGTTCACAAGATACTGTCAGGAGAGGATTCTTCCTGGGTCTCTCATGTTTCCGCCTGTCTTACAAGGAGGGGCACTGACTGCCTTTGTTCTAGGCCGTCTTCAAGGAGATACACACTCACGTACATACACACATATATACACACATGTGTAGAGTGAACAGCATTGCATGATAGCAATAGTGTGTCTCTCCAGAGCAAAGGGTAGGTTTATTACTCAATATAATAAAGATAATGTCTCCTTTGGGGGCCAGAGTTCAGGCAAGCTTACTGCTCACCATAAAAGAATCTTGTTCCTTAAGCTTGGGTTTGCTCTTCTGCAGGACACCCCACGGCAGGTGCAGTCATCAGCGGGTCCTCCTCACTTTTCCCTGCAGTAATCAGGGCTTGGGGAATCAAAAGCTGATACTCTGATTCCTCCTACTGTTGTGAGTAATAATTCTCTGACCCAGAATTCTCATGTCTTCTGCCAGCATCCATGAAAGCTGTCTGTACGTAGGGTAAAATCTCGGAGCCTTCAAAGCTCTTGATAGATACAAGATACAAAAATCAATTGTTTCACACTAGCAAAAAAAATTCGAAAATGAAGTTAACAATACCTTTAGCAGAACATGAAAAGCACAGTATACGGATAAACTTAACAAGATGTGTGTAGGACGAAATTGTGTTCTCTGAAAGCCACAAAGACCTTGCTGAGTGAAATTAAAGACCTAAATAAATGGAAGGAGATTCCATGCTCATGGATAGGGAGATATTAAGTTTTCTCCACTCAACCATTCAAATCTTGACGGGAATGGAATACAAAAGAGTCTATCCCTTCCATGGAAGGCACCATCCCTTTCAACCGAGGGCAGTGTCCTGATGAGACTATTAGGCCCCATTACAGAGATTCCCAAGAGCACCTCTGCCTCTCATCTTTCACATCTGCATCTTCTCTCTGGTCCCATGAGCTCCCTCATTCATCCAGTGAATTCCCGCTCTGTGTCCGTTACCCTATTAGTCAACCTCTAACGAACACTGTCTGGTATAAAACAAAACAAAACAAAACAAAACAAAAAACCTAAAGAGTCAGGATTTGCTGGAATACTGCTTTTGTTGATTAAAAAAGAAAAGAAAAAGATTGTCATTGAAGAACAAGAACCACCAAATCTGGACCCAAGAGAGAGGATGGTCACAAAGCCAAGTGACTGACCAAAGCCATCAGTTGGTGCTAAAAGCTCTTTCGTCATCTATAACGTGGTCGTCTGTGCCAGGCCCACGTCATAGCCTCAGTCCTCCGACTGAAGTGCAGATATGCAAGAGCTTTACAGAGAAACTCCCAGGTGGTGATTTGAATGGCTGCAAACACTAGAGATGAAAATGGAAGACCTCAGGCTTATCACTAGAGATTCATTTTAAAAGCCTTTTGAGGGGCGCCTGGGAGGCTCAGTTGGTTAAGCATCTGCCTTCAGCTCAGGTCATGATCTTGGGTCTTGGGATTGAGCCCCATGTCATGCTCCCTGCTTGGTGGGGAGTCTGCTTCTCCCTCTTCCCCTGCCCCTCCCCGTGCTTGTGCGCTCACGCGCTCTCTCTCAAAATACTTAAAAAAAATTTTTTTTTAATTAATAAAAGCCTTTTGAAAAAGCACAAAGAACTCCTATTTGGAAGAAGGAACATCTGGCATTACACCCTTACCCTGCACTGCAGCCACACATGAGCAAGGTGGGTGTGATCTTGTGGGATACGATGTCCCATAGGATCCTGACATCTAGAATGTGCTTTGTCAATTAGGGATCACTTTTTTCCTTCCTTTTTCACCTTCCCTGGACAGTATTCTTCACATACAATTTGCCTTAGAATTTAAAAGAAACCCCCACCCCCCAAAAAAAAATCTCCCAGAGGTGATACAAAGAATGTAAAAAAGAAAATAAGCCTAGAATTTAAGAGAACATGAAATTTATTAGATGCGGACTACAAAAATAAAACCATAAAATCGGGACCCAGCAAGCCCCCACCCCAACCCCCATAAAAACATTTCATGTACACATACATGGCTAGCAAAGACTAAAAAGATGCAAAGCTTCCAAAGCGACAGATGCTCAGCTGGAGAAGGTTGATGACTGGGTCAGAGGAGCCCATTCCCGGAGGGGCCCACTGTTGGTTCAGTCACAACACCAGGCCCAAACCCCAGGCTTCTGGCCCAGAGGCTGACGTCAGGGAGTCCCTGAGCATGGGTGGGAGGCAGACCACTTACTCTCTCTGTGCACTCTCCAGTTGCTTCACTCTCAGATCCCTCTTCTGCTCCTCCAGCACCTGGTAGAACCGATATATGGCTAGAGGGTCCAAACAGGGACAGAGAAATGAAGATTTAGTGGGTTTGTGGGTGGGCTCTAGACATCCCCAGAGCCTGGCAGACCACCACAGAGCCCCTCGCTCAGGGATGCTGACGTTCAGTCCTCCCTTCTTTGGGATGGATTTCCAAGTCTACCTGCTCTCATGAAGCTTCACTATCCCAGCATCTGCCTGCTGGACACCTTCAGCTCTCATATCAAATCCTGTAACCTGGCTCATGGCCTTGGCCTCATCAGGTTTTCTATCTGCCTCTATTTGCTCAGTCCATTCTCCAAAAGGTATTTCTGTGACATAAATGTTCTTGTTAACGGGTCTATTCCCAGAGGGAGAACAGTATCTGGCACGTGGCGAGACGCAATAGAAAATTGGCAAAATGAAGGTCAGATTCTCCAAAACCTTCAGAGGAGACTCTGAACTCCGCAGTGTAATGTACAGGGACCCCCACGGCCCTCCCGGCCTCTCTGCCCTGCCGTACCGCTAGCCCCAAAGGGCAGTGTACCACTTCTTCTTAGTGCACAGTCCCAATGCCCTGCTCCAGGCAGCCACAGAACAGATACCCAAAGAGTGCGGTGTTCTCCACGGGCCTATCTATGGGTTCCTATTTGCAAAGGAGCTCGAGGACGTGAAGGTAGAAACAGATGTCATAGCAGGGCTGGCGCTACAGGCTGCTGAAGGCCAAAAACAAGAGAAGATCCAGGAACTGGGCGATAGAGGAGTTGACAGGGCATCTTTGAAGGAGGCCAGGATCGGGAGGTCGGGACCACTCACCTTGTTTTAGTCGGAGGGGCCTATCCGCAAAGACCATGCGGAACCAGCCAGCCTCCTTACACATGTAGGTCTTGCCTCGGGACAAGATCAGCTTGTTATCCAGGAAGCGGCGACAGAGCAGCAGCTCTTCCTCAAAGGTGCACGGATCCAGGTACTAGGGAAGGCCGAAGGAGAGGGCTGAGCCAAAGACGCATCAGGCAGGGAGGGCTGCCCAAGAATACCACACCTCATTCCCAGAGCTCACCACTTTCAAGTTGATCCAGACATAGAGGCCAGAGCCACGGTTGAGAAAAGGGATCCCCAATGCCTTCAACTTCTTAGTGATGTATCTGTGAGCTCTCTGCAGCCGGGAGTGGTAAGTGGGCAGGTACACTCCGTCAATCCACTCTGGACGGGTCGGGGGAAGATAGCCGTCACGGGTCTGGTGGCAGAGATCTGCAGGCTTATCAAAGGCTCCCTCCCTGGGCTTTGTACCAGCTCTTTCTATCCAAGCCGGGCTCTGTGTTATATCTGCGCTGACGGTAGCCATACCCAGCACACCTTCTCAATAGTCCAGTAGGAATGTTCTGATACAAAGAGTCGGGGTGCCCCCGAAGTGGGACAGATGCTGCTGTTGCCAACTGGGCAGATACTCAGAGCCTCACACAGTGGACTTCGAGAAACCTAGATATGCTTGGGGAGGCCCTTAGCCCAGGTGTTCTTAGCACTGGCAGCACATTAGAACCACTTGGGGAGCTTTTTAAAAGTCCCGATGCCCAGGTTATACCTCCAGATCATCTAAACCAGAATCTTTGGGGATAGAGCCCATGTATCAGCATTAAGCTCCCCAGATAACTCCCATGTGTCCAAGGTGGAGAACTCGTGTCCAAAGGGCTAAGAACCTGGTTTCTGCCACATATCAGAGGGCCTGGCACCATGCACGGAGCCATCTGGTTGGATTTCTCCTATCGACCCCTTTCCCCCTGCCAAAGCTGAAAGCAAATTGTTTCTAAACCAGATTATCAAATTACATTAATTTGTATCATTATATCCCAGCTTTCAATTTAAATCCTCCAGCCTGGCATCTGCCCTGTTATAGGGAATTAAAGAAGGGGGGGGCCTTATCTAAGTTTGGGCGATGGCCTTAAATAGAGGGGGTTGGGGGAGGTCTCCTCTAAAGCCAGGATTCACTTGTGACCCATGGAGGAAACTGAATGCAGGTGCCATAGATCTAGCCACACCCACTTGCCCAAATGGCAGCTCTCCTTCGGCCACCTTGGAAGATGAAGTCAAGTCCTATTCAAGGAGTCATGGCATTTTGGGGTCATCTTTGCCTAAAGCAAGCCGGGCATTGGGGAGGGAAAACTGACCTTTGCATAGAGACTGGTTTCTGTCTTTCAAGCCTTAGAGAACAATTTGCCTTTCCAGGCACAGCACGAGTTCCCGAACATGAAAGCCCATCTGTGTTTCAGGCCAGCAGCTTCGTCTTGTCTCTGCCTACTGCGCGAGCTGAGCTACAGCCTGCCTGCCTTCAAACTTCCTGTCCTGCCTCCATTAAACCCTAGACCGCGAACAGGGTCTCAGTGGATTAGAGGTATGTCAGGGGCCCAAGCAGACCCAGGGACTCCCCCATGGCCATGAGGCCTAGCCACGATCCCAGCCCGGGATGGGACTCACTGCCTACCTCAGTCCCGAAGCAGCCGGCACAGCTTGTACTGGCTGATGCCAGAGACACTGTGGAGATAGCCAAAAGAGCTCACGGCAGAGGCCGCCTCCTTGTTGTGCGTGTAAAGAACACCAAAGCGGAAGCCAGAGATGTCGTAATCCTAGAGGAAAAGAAGCAGGGGGAGGAATACCCGGTTTGCCCGCCTCCTGGCCCCTTTCCTTTCCTACCCAAATACAGGAAGCTGGGGCTTACCTTACTGGTGCCCCAGATCACATGGGTCCTGTTGGGGTCAGGCAAACTGGAGAGGAGACAGTACAATCAAGGTTATAAAGACATATTGAAAGGATGAAAACTTGGGGTCAATGAGGGCAAGAGAGGAAAACAGACTTGAGGTCATTCCTAGACATAAGAGCCTATGGGGCCCAAAGTTCAAGAAACAGTTGCCCCAGTTAACAGCCAGGGAGTCAGCAAAAGGTATCCTTGGGGAACTAGATGGGACAGCTCCTGAGTGCCCACCAAATGAAGCCCAGGCCCCTCAGCCTGGCTCAGAGCCTTCCTGCAGCTGGTCCAAAGCCACCTTCTTGGCAATCAGCTCTTCACACACGTGGGCCACCCACCGTTTCTAAAATATGCTCACCTATTTCTTTTTTTTTTCTTTTTTTTTTTTTAAAGATTTTATTTATTTATTTGAGAGAGAGAGAATGAGAGAGAACGAGTACATGAGAGGGGGGAGGGTCAGAGGGAGAAGCAGACTCCCCGCCGAGCAGGGAGCCCGATGCGGGACTCGATCCCGGGACTCCAGGATCATGACCTGAGCCGAAGGCAGTCGCTTAACCGACTGAGCCACCCAGGCGCCCCTGCTCACCTATTTCTAACTGCCCCACTTCAGATAAAGCTGTTCCTTCTGCCCGGCATGGCCTTGCCTTGCTTTGGCTGCTGGGATCGTATCTTAGGGCCACATGCTACCCTTAAGAAAGTTCTGCCTTATTTCTCTTCTTTCCCTATGTACTACTTATAAAGAAGTTCCTACCCTGACCTTCTGTGGGGCTCTATGTAGACGTGGGACAGTGCACTTTCTACCTTGCCTTCAAGTTATCTCATGTACAAAACAGCATTGCAAAAAGACACGTTTGAGGAAAGAGGATGCTTTGCTCATTTTCACACGCCCGGTGGCACTTGGCCCCAGTTCCTAGCACGTAGCCAATTAAGTTTATGGCCCATGAATACACCCTGCAAAAGCAGGAACCTCATGGCTTGCATTCCAAACTCCAATTGAGGCCAACAAACTCACCTTTCCATGCTCAGAATGCTGTGGAATGTGATGGATTCATCAAACACAGACAGCATGTAAATCTCATCTATAATCACATGTAGGTTATACCTGCAAGTTGGGCAAAAGAGGGAGAATATTATCTAGGTTCTCTCTCATCTCAACTCCCTTTCTTTCTTGGGCTTCTCTGGATACAGTTCAGATACTCTTACTGCTCTGGCAGCCCATCCAACCCTTCCAAGGGGCATGGTAAGGCAGAAGGGGCATACACCTTAGACCTGGCTCGGGGGTAGGAAGGAATAGGACCCAAAGACACTCAACAGAACATCTAACCCTTCAGCCGTCAAGCAGAGACCAATGCAATGGGGAGGGCTGCGTGTCCCAAGGAGTTTTATATCTGGTACAGGCAGGAGCTCCCACCCAGGGTCCAGACTGAATAATGGCATTAAGTGGCCTAAGTGCTAATGCAGATCATTGTGTTTTTTCTCCCAACAGCCCTCTGAAGCAGTGCTGTCCTCATGCTCTGCCATGAATTGGTCTGGATTAGAGTTATCAAATTTGGATAAGTGTGATTCTTCTAGAAAATGGGGAGGTTAACACCCCCTATTGAATAGGGCTATTTCAAGACTCCAGAGATAACTGATGTTAACATGTCCGTGGGAGTGGGACATAAGGGTTCTCTGGCGACACATCTTCACCCCACAAGGTCTGAGAATTTGGCTGCCTCGGTACCTCAGGCCAAGGAGTTGGGAAACGGATGCTGGGAGAAAGTGGTTACATGACAAGAAGAGGAAAAGCAAAAAAACCAGATCACAATTGTTATGTAGGTGTCTGTACCTGGGCCAAAAAAAAAAAAGGCAAAATGGCAAAAAACGTTCAGTTGAAGCATGTGGGTGCATTTATTTTACTTCAATTTCAGTGAGTTGTACATAGCTTTGCAAAGTATACTATGCAGTAAAAATACTGGGGTAAATGACATCTGGTTCTGACTTCTAGGAACCTTGTTCAGGGACTTCGTGTAGTCTCAAGGGGTGAAACACCTACGTCTTGGCAAATTCCAGGTATTCTTTCAGTGAATCTCAGGAGTAGACATCCCCCAGAGGATTCTGAGGGTTGATTAGCACAAGACCTCTGAACTTTTTCCCCTAAAAAAAAAAAAAAAAAAACCAAAATTAAACAAAACACCCCCAAAACATCACTGAGGTGAACATAATAGGTCTACCTCAAGTTCAGCCAAAGGTCAAGTCAGGATACCCAGTTTTGGACACATCCCCCCTACCCCCGAGGCCTTTAGTTGGGGTCTCAGCAACTTAGGTAGGATCTGGAACACTCAGCTCTCTCAGCACCCACAGAGGGGGAGCAAGGAGGAGCTCTGGGGGCTGCCCCCAGAGACAGGGGCTCAGGGCTCCTAGGGGGACACGCCCCTGGGACACAGCCCCTTTCAAAGGAGCCCACAACACCTTGGTGAGAACACTGTCCCGGATCTCCGGACCCAGCCCCTCTCAGGGGCAGCAGCACCCACCCCGAAGACATGGGTCCCTCCTTACTGTAAGCGTCGCCTCAAGCAGAGCTTGCTCTAGCTTGTCCACAGTGAGCTCCAACGGGCGGGGGTTCGCGTCCCTGCTCTGGAGGCAAACACTCTGCCTGAGCACCGCCTACCTGGAAGCTTCTAAGCCCTGGTCCCTCGCTCCTCTACACATCGCCCAACACCTCACACCCAGGCCTGCAGTCCCACACGCCCTCCTTGCCCTAATTTCCCCATCCTCCCCCCACCGTCCCTTATATGGGAGGAGAGTGAGGTCCCCTACCCCTTCCAAATGCCCTTAGGATGGTCCATTGTCTGGGGGGGGAAGGGGCCCCATTCTGACCTCACTGTCCAGGTGGATGAGAATCAGCTCAACTTTCGAATACAGGTGGGAACTAAAGACGAAGCCGCCATAGAAGGGGGTGGGGGTCAGCAAGGCCTCTGGAAGCACAGGGAGACAACACTGTCAGTCGGGGGGGGGGGCATCTCAGTCGGAACCTGCCAGCCGTGCCCCCCCACAGACAAGTAGCAACACTACAGACAGAGAAGGTTAGTTTGGCAATCCCTCCTACTTGGGGCTTAATTTTTGGCCTCAGGCTCTATAAAAGTTACATTCTTATAAACGTTATGTGGGGAAACACTAGAGAAGGGGAAGAATATTGCTAGGAATGGCTCTGAATTGAGGTTACAAACCCAAACGGGCTTGCTAGTGGGTAGAGCGCTAGTCATCCAGCAGGTCTCACCAGCTCCTGTCCAAACATTAGAAGCTGAGGTCTGTGCCAAGAGAGGGCACTCATCTCTCTGCATGGCCCAGGCTACCTGCACCTGGTGAGCTCCTGGGTTCTTTCCTTCCCCTTCCTTTGGCCTCACGGATGAGTTAACCAAGCACCTACTCCTCTGAGTGAAACTGGCCATCTGGGTAACTTCCTTCTATGCAGCGAGAGCTCATTAAGACCGGAGACTCTTGTTTGGGTGTTGTTAGGAGGGAGACTGAGAACAGATCCCTTGGCCTTATTTGATCTAGAACTAATTTGCCTTTGGGGGGTGGGCAGAGGAGGATACAGGAGTTAGGAAATCTAACTGCTCTAAGCTAATTTACCAGGGCTCTCTGTACTGATGTTGAGTCCAGAAGCCCAGCTAATAATATAATGAGTTGGCTCCAATTGTCACTCTTTCTGAGGCATACCTCCTTGAGGACTGTCCCATGTTTTCCTTCCATATTAAATGGGGACCCAAATCTGTCACTCCTATGGAAATAGTACGAAGATGTTCTAATCAGGGTAGAAGTTCCAGCACTTTAGGGGAAAGGCCTCTGAGTCAAGATATTCTTCTTCCCTAAGGACCAGTGCCCATGAGCTGCTCTTTTCCTGAGGGAAAGCAGAGCCCACTGACTTACCACCTGGATCACACAGAACCATGGCCAGTGTGGAGAATACAGAGGAGCAGCCATTTAGAACAACTACCTGAAGATGCACAGAAGGCAGAAGTCAAAAACCAATCCCCACGTAAGAAGGTCTAGCCCCTTTGTCTCCCTCCCCCTAGGAGGGACAGGCACCAGGAACCTCCTCTTCTGTGACCCATTGGCCTTGGCTCTGCCCTGGCCCTAGGGTCTCTGCTGGTTCTAGAAAATGCAGCGAGTCCCCCAAGAATACAGTCCTCTACCAGGGTGGCAGTGAGGCTTGGAAATGGACACACATTTTCTGGATCGAGCTGAGCAGGTACCTTGCAGTAGTAGGTCAGGAACCGGGCCACCTCTTCCCGCAGGCTGTGGGTAGACCCAGAGAGACTGCATGGTGACCATGCCCAGGGACCTTTCCTTATTCAAGGTCTAGCCTACGGTCGTTTCCAAAGAGCAAGGCATCCAACCTCATGTCACAGGGCTACTGGCTGACGCCATCAACTCTCCAGGTGATGCAGACAATAGGTGTGAGAGTTTGGATGAGAACTCAGGCCTTCTGAATACAGGGAGGTGCTATTTCTACTACACCAGGCTCCCTCCTGAGGTGGTTTCACTCTAGACATTTTCTGGAAGTTGTTACCCAGAGAAATAGGGAGGTAGCCAACCAAGAATCTGGTGCCGGGGGTCCTTCCGTCCCTGAAAATAGGTGTCTGGGGGCCACGAGACTTTAGATCTAGAAATTACTTACAATGGTTGCCCTGACCAATCAGGATACTGCAGCAGGACATCCTCAATGAAGTTCATATCACTCTGACTCAACTGTTGACAAACAGAGCATGAGGACAGCCAGACCAGGGAAGACCAACCTGCCTCATCCTACTGCTAGGATGCGTATGGGTGTTTGCCGTACAACCTAGGGCCTTATGGAAGAAGAATAGGGAAACATGCCACATGCCCCTTCATGAATGGAGCCCCCAATCTCCTTGTCATAGGTTACACAAAGAGAATTCACTGAGGAGTGTTGAATGACCTCCACAACCCTACACTTGGGCCAGAGTCTCCCTTGGCAGCCTACCCACCATATACCCATCCAGAGCACACCCCTAAACACAGCAAGCCAGGAGGTCAGAGGTGTTATTCAAGAAGCTGTTTCCCCACTCCCTTCCCTAAACTCCTAAGTCCCATTCCTGTATCTACCACATGCTAAGAAACAGTCTAGGGGGACTGGACCTGATGGTGGGTCCCAGCATGGCCCAAGACTTGGCTTACCCTTTCAGTCTTCAGATCAAGGCAGAGCTTATTCTCACTGATGCCAAGGTTAACGAAGCCCTGGAGATGGAAGGAATCGATCAGTCCACTTGCCCTGCCCTCTAGGGACCTCCTTAAACATTCCAGTAAGGACTCATCTTAGATTATTTCAAATGGAAATCTCACTGCCCCACGAGGCAGTTCACTCCATGTCTAACAGCTTCAAGTGTTAGAAAAGTTGCCATAGATTCAAAAATCGTACAGCTTGCAATTTCCCCCTTTAGAGCTACCCAGTACTTCTATCCCTGAGAGCAGGCACTGAGTTCTTACTATGTGCCAGGCCCTAGACTCAGTGCCTCATGCAGTGGCCTTACTTCTCATAACTCCTGAGAAAAAGGTCCTATTATGATCCTCACTTTAAGAGAGGGAGGCTCCGAAATGTGGACTGCCCCACTAGCCACATGACCTCGGGGACGGGCAGAACGCCATCTGCCTGGCCCCAGGACCTGCCTCATGCCCATCTCTGCTACTTCCATATCAATGTGAGGCCTCTTCGAGTTACTGGAGGACATATGGTTCTTCAGGGTCCAGTGGAGATGCAGGACTCAGTTGGTCCCCAGAAAAAGCTGATGACCATTGACCACATATCACTTAGCTAGAAACAGAAAAGAAGGTATGATTTGGGCTGTCCTCCACCCTCTGGCTAGAGAGCTGTTGTGAACGGCTCCTGCTGGGAGCCTCTCACTGGCTCCCTATCCTAACTTCACCATCCTAACACCTCACAACTCTTGTCACGTCACTCATGTTCCCCAGTCTAGCCTCAGGAGCCTCATTTTCCCATCACTCCAAGCCCTTCCCACTTTAAAGCTTTCACACCTGCAGTTCCTCCTACCTGGAAGACCCCCCTCCCACCCCTACCACATGGTTGGCTGATTCAGCCTTTAAGACACCTCAGACCACCCAATCAGGCCTCCCTTTACTTCTCTCAGGTTGTTATTATCAATGTTCCTTTCCCCAATGCCAGACAATATTCAGCAACTAGACTCAGTTCCATGAGGGTGGGTTTGCTTAGCACTGTGACCACTGTGACCTAGTGGGCAAGAGCAGGGACTGAGGGAAAGCATGCAGAAGAGGGGGGCGGGAAGGACCCAGACACAGCTCTTAACTTTCTTGGCATTGTCACCTTGCTCCTGTGCCCATTCCCTTATCTCTAAGATGACAATAGTGTCATCTAGGAAGAGTGAGAGAGAGCCCAGTACTTGGCACAGGACTCAGTAAATCCTAGTGATCGGGGCCCTCGAGGAGGTGTCTCTCCCCACCCCCCATCCTCACCAAGGGGTTCTTGTCCTCATGGTATTTGTCTCCTTGGTACATCTTGTAGTCCTGGAAGCTGGCCCGGTATGATGCAGAGATTTCGATCCCACGGTTAGACAGGTGCTGGCTGACAAATGTCGCTTCGGGATCCTTCAGTTGGTGAACTGGCTGGTCAGGCTGCCCGGCTGATTGGGCCCCCTGCCCACCTCCGACATCCCCCCTCACATCCAGGGAAGGGTAAGACGGTTGGAGCCCCAGGCCACCCGGGGCCCCAGACTGTAGGAGATTGACCAACTGGGACATTAAATTGCCCGGGAGGGCTTCCTGCTCCCCGGTGGCCTGATGATGCCTTTGGTCCCCCAGCACCAGATCCTGCTGCTGGTGCCTGGTGGCCAACTGCATGATATGCTTCTCGATGGTCTGCTGCAAGTGCATCATCTCCATGGGCTGGGTGCAGGTGCCCTGGCTTCCGAGGCCCTGACCCCTCATCTGACCACAGGGCAGATGGAGGGTGTCTGATTGGTGACTCATGCTCTGGGCCTTTGTCTCGGCCTCAGCAGGCTGGCTGGAACCTGCAGATAGAGAAGGAGACCACGCACTGCAGCAAAGGAGACTCTCCTCGACCCTCAGGTTCAGGCCTGATCTCCGGCTCCTCACTGCCTCCTCCTACTTCCACGCATGGGGTACAGGCCCATGTCGGTTCAGGAAGAATTACCGACTCATTCAACGGCAATGCGTAAGTGGCCCCAAGCCCAGACACTGGAGCACTGTACTTCAATGACATTAAAATATGTCCTGAGAAAAAGCGTTAGGACCCACTTTGAGAAAAAGGGGAAACTGAACAGGTAGGCTCTGGGGGCTCCACCCTGTGCCTCAATTAGAGCAATTCCTGCTTTACAGGGTTCTAAGAAAAAGGGATTTTGAAGACAGAGAGAGAGAGAGCTGGAGAGAGAGAGAGATGGAGAGACCCAAACACCTGGACACCCAGAAAATAAAAAGCCTCAGTAAATTATTCTGCTAGAACAGAGGTTAGTAAACTACTGCCCAAGGGCCAAATCCAGCTACCTCTTTTTGTAAATAGCTTAATGGGAACGCAGTCACATTTGTTGGTTTATGTATCACCTCTGGCTGCTTCTACGTCACAATGGCAGAGTGGAACAGCTGGGACACAGACCATATGGCTCACAATGTCTGAAATATTCATCATCTGGCCTTGTATGGAAAAAGTCTGCCATACCTTATCCTAGAACATCAGCCCTTCTTTTTATCTCTTTTTCCTAAGTTGGCCGTACCAGATATTCAAAGCTCGGTCCTTCCACTCCTCCCTTGTGTCCCTTCCTTATAAATACCTTCAACCTGCTCACTGGGACGGCCACCTTAGACATTCATCACTAGTAACCATGGGTGCGATACATGGTTCTTGAACTTCAGACTTCACCAGCATCACCTGGAGGACTTAGGACAGGGATGGCGAGGCCTCATTGCCAGACTTTCATTCAGTAGGTGGGGGCTGGGAATTTTTGGTTCTCATGAGTTCCTGAGACTCTGCTTTGAGAACTTCTAACATTCAAACCACCCTTTCCTCTGAAGAGAAGTCAAAATGATGGGTAGGACCTAAGAAAGAAACACCTTTTTAAAGCCTCAAAGAACCCAAATACTGGACACTCTGCCCAACCTCTTCCGACCATGTTCAGTCAGCTTGTGATATTCCCAGAGCAACTAGTACTTCCCCTGAATGACACTTAATACAGTTCCTTGTTCAGGGTCTCCCCAGGGCAGCCTTCATCACGATATCGTTAGCACAGTGCCCAGCACCTAGCTAACTAGTAGGAGAGGCACAACCACGGGGATATTGCCGAGTCCATGAAGACAGGAGCCCTAACTGAGGACTTGGCTATAGAAGATGGAGCAATGACCAGATGCAGCCACAGGACAAAGTCGTACCAAGTCTTGACTTAGGGTGCCAACCTCTCATCAACACTGATACAAAGCACTTCACTCACCAGAATTAGGAACATGCATACCGTTTAGAAAGAAATGGAACAAACATAAGCCCTCATGCCTAGGCTAACCCTTTGTTCCACAAGCAAAAGCTTTGTTGTGGCCCAAACTCCCTCCCTTAAAAGTAGGAAGGTCATTTTAAAGGGGCTCTCCACCCTGCAGGTAGGTAGGTCATGCTGTCCTTCCGGATACAGACATCCCCCCAATTTAGGATGGTTCAACTTATGATTTTTTTTTTTTTTAACTTTACAATGGTGCAAAAATTATATGCATTCAGTAGACACTGTACTTGGAATTTTGCTTTTGTTTTTTTTAAAGATTTTATTTATTGGGCGCCTGGGTGGCTCAGTTGGTTAAGCGACTGCCTTCGGCTCAGGTCATGATCCTGGAGTCCCGGGATCGAGTCCTGCATCGGGCTCCCTGCTCCGCGGGGAGTCTGCTTCTCCCTCTCCCACTCCCCGTTTGTGTTCCCTCTCTCGTTGTGTCTCCCTCTGTCAAATAAATAAATAAAATCTTTAAAAAAAAAAAGATTTTATTTATTTATTTGACAGAGGGAGACACAGCGAGAGAGGGAACACAAGCAGGGGGAGTGGGAGAGGGAGAAGCAGGCTTCCCGCGGAGCAAGGAACCCGACGTTCGGGCTTTTAGGACAGGGATCGAGCAGTGGCTCAATCCCAGGACCCCGGGATCATGACCTGAGCCGAAGGCAGACGCTTAACAACCGAGCCCCCCAGGCGCCCCTGTACTTGGAATTTTGAATTTGAATCCCTGGGCCAGGGATATGTGGGAGGATCCTGTCTCATGATGCCGGGCACTGGTAGTGAGCTGCAACTCCCACTCAGCCCCACAATCACGAAGGTCAACAACCATCTTACAACTATCCCAGACCCAGACACCCTTCTGTTTTTCACCTTCAGTACAGTATTCAATAATTTACAGGAGATATTCAACACTTCATTATAAAGTAGACTGTTAGAGGATTTTGCCCAGGTGTAGGTTCATGTGAGTGTTCTAAGCATATTTAAGGTAGGTTAGGCTAAACTAAGATGTTCATTAGTTTAGGTGTATTAATTAAATGCATTCTCAACTTGTAATGGGTTTATCATTACATAACCCCCTCATAAGTCAAGAGGGATCTATACTTGGATCGCATAGAGGGGTAGTTAAGGGTCAAGAGAGATTCCTGTGGTTTTGCCTTTCAAAAAGTGGTGCCTATCATCTCTGTTGGTCCTGGGGAGTGCTGGTGGGAAGGGTCACAATGGTGGACAAGATCTCTTTTCAATGGGCAAGAAGTTATCGATGGGGGGGGGTGGTCTGCTTTCTTCCAGAGCTGGGTTCTCACATATTAAAGGTCTTGTCTTGTGTCAACTTAATAACAAAATCAAAGATGTCACAGCTCCATAGTATCCACTAGACCAGCACATGGCCCCAGAATTTAAGCAGTAATTAGGAGCACTACTGGACTCCTTGCCCTGGAAGTCCTTGATGTTACCAAAGTTCCACGATTCTGCCCCATCTACCCAGCTCTCAGCCAGGGACTCTAGGACCAAAGAAAATAGCAATCAGGATCACGTAGGGAAACCGGAGGCCAGTGCGGCCCAACAAGCCATTGGAGGAGAAAGGCTGCTTACAGCAGATAGAATGAGGACCTCTCAGACAGGCTTATGGAACAACAAATAGGTGCCAAGGCAAGTACCTGAAAGAAGTGTATTTTCTTGGCAGAATGTATTTTCTAATAAGGAAGGAAGTATGTGTTGGGGCGCCTGGGGGGCTCAGTCTGCCTGAGTTAAGCATCTGCCTTTGGCTCAGGTCATGATCCCAGGGTCCTGGGATTGAGCCCCGCATCGGGCTCCCTGCTCGGCGGGAAGCCTGCTTCCCCCTCTCCCACTCCCCCTGCTTGTGTTCCCTCTCTCGCTGTGTCTCTCTCTGTCAAATAAATAAATAAAATCTTTAAAAAAAAAAAAAAAAAAAAGGAAGTATGTGGCAAGGCCAGGAGGAAACCTGGCAGTTAGGCCTCTGCCAAGACTTGTCTTTGCTATAGGAAAAGTCTATTGTGAAAGACGCTGGCCCACAAAGGCAATAATGTCCCTAAATTGTACTGGGGTATACCAACCCTTTCCTCAAGTCCTCTTGTATGTACCTTTGGTTTCAGTATTCCCCAGCTTCCAACCATCTACCTGTTAAGTCACACTCAGGGACCTTCTAGAACAGCTAGAAGCAGTGTCTCAGAGCCAGCTCAGCAGACAGCAATAGCCCTCTGAAAAGGCTGACAAATAGTAGAAGCTGAGAAGGAGTGAACACAGGAAATGAGCTGGGAACAAGCTGGTCTCCTGTTTGTTTGCAATGCCAGCACATGGGTATACCCTTTACAGCAGGAAATTTTTTATGTCAATTTTCCTAGTACCCTACAAGCTCTTCTAGCTCTGTCTTGCCCTCCAACCTTCCCTCCCTCTGCCATGTACCAGCCTCCCCTGGTGTCCCAGTCCTCTGACCTAATTCAGATATTTCCTTCTTATGATGGTAAGTAGGATAAGGATTGCAGAGTCTCCTCTATGTGCTTGGGAAGCAAGGTGTTGGGAAGAGAGACCCCTCAACACAAGTTGCAAAACTGAAATCTCAGGTAAAAGCAGGCTTGAAGAGCTTAGGTTTTATTTTAGAGTTCCTACTCACCAATTGTAGCATGTTGCAAGAATTATCTTCCCTGTCTGGGCATCAGTTTCTCCATATGTTAGATAAGAAGATGCCTCAATTCAAGGTGAGAAAACTGAAGATTAATGAAGATGAGTCACTTCCATGGTCCCACAGGAGAGCCAGGATTTTAAACCTCAGACCTCCCACTTGAGTCCAGAACTTCTGGGAACGAGCGTAAGTTGGCTGAAAACCAGTCCTTGAATGGACAGCAGCTGGGCTTCATGTCACAATGCCCAGGAGATCTCAATTTCTGGAGTTGGATTAACTTCATCCAACAACTTTGTCCTCCTCTATTGTTCGTGACTCAAATTCCCCGGGCAGAAGCTAATAAATACTCTGGATGTGGTTACCTTAGACTTGCATTTCTCAGAGGATCACTTTTCAAATACAGTGTCCAAAACACAAAATCCAAACACATGAACAAAGAGCATGAGGTAAGACCAGTGCAGACAACAGAAAGACTAACTAGACTGCAGCTACTAATGGTAGACTGTAAAATAATCACTTTTCTGTTCAAGGAGATAAAAACCCAAGTCTGAAAATTGACAGATTGGAAATTGTTTTCTTTCAAATCTGTCCTTTTGATAATCCATTCTAGAGGGTAAAATGCAATGACCAAAAGTGAAAATCCTCACTGGAAGGGTTTATTCTCATATTAGATAAACGTAAAGAGAAAATTAGTGACCCAGAAGAAGAGGCTGAAGAAACTTTCTAGAATGTGACATGAAGACACAAAAGAAAGTTAAGAGAAGATATGAGAAAATCTAAAATATACATATACATATTCATCTGAAGTCCCAAAGGAAGAGAAAAATGGAGCAGAATCAATCTGAATAAGATGTTTTATCAGTGCCAAATAATCAGACACCAAAGCATGGATTCAAGAAGCCCAACAAATGCAAATTAGAATAAAGAAATCTACATATATACATACATATATATGTACATACATATATATTTAGGATAATACATGTATATATATCATCTACAAAAAGCAAACATCTCAAAAGCAGCCAAGAAAAAAAAGTTACCCTTAAAGGAATAATAGACCAGAAGCTGACTTCAGCCAACAGGGGAAACCTGAAACAATGAAATGTTATTTTCAATATACAGAAAGAAAATAGCTCCCAACCTAGAAACCTGTAGCCATCAAAGCATCAATACTTCATTAGGCAGTACCAATTCCTCCCCATAGAGGAACTGGATTTGTGTGGAGAATACTACTAATCTGCACAAGTAGGTTTGCCT